TGTGTGTTTGTGTCTGGTTAGGCTCCGGCTCCCCAGCGACCCTGTACTGAGTGAAGAGGATTAGAAAATTGATGGATGGATGAATCTGGATATAATTTACATCAACTTTGTAAAGCCAATCATTTCAAATTCTTAAACTATTTCATGTGCCTTGGTAAATTAATCTGCGAACAATTAGAAAATAATACAACATTATACAATATTAATTTCACCAACCAGTAAGTGATTTTATTTCTAGTAACTGTAACAACAGCTTTCTGTTTTCTGAGAAATAATTGTTACAGGAACATTCAGATGATGCAAGATGTTATACATTTTGCTGGGATCTAACTTAAAGTCTGAAAAGATTAATTCCAATTTCTTCCAAGTGAGACGCAGTATTGAAACATTAATGGAACACGGAAATTGGATCAGGATGCGTTCTTCCTTGTAATCACAGCCCTGTGTAATTTCATCTCTCTCCGTGGAAGGAGATACAATGCTCAGGGCGCAATCCTGTATCCAACTTCCTATTACATTTTGCTAAAGTTATTGCTCAAAAATGACTTTTGAATACAGAGTGCTGAGGTCTACAGTCTGAGAGGCCAAATATGTGCTCCTGAGAGCTACTAAGACCACATCTGGCTGAGGATCTCAAACAGAGCAAAATGCGAAGTAGAGTCCTAGAGCGACTATAATGTACAAATACAGTTAGAGAAGCCCCCTCCAATAATTGAATGTGCTCATTGAAGCAGGAGGTAAGCTCTATGATCATGGGTTTGATTCTAAGTAATTTCACTCGCTGACTGTGACCAGAATTCCCCAAGAAATTGGCTGAGCACTTCTAAGCATAGAGTTGGGCTAATCTGACAGGGTCTCTTGAATCTCATAAACATAATGACTCCTGTGGTTTTCCAGACAGCTCCAGGCCTGCAGTTGCTGTTGGCGAAGGACGTGCCTGTCCACCAGTCAGCACTGATCCTCAGGTATCTGTCAAGCCCTTTGCAGCCAGAGGGCGCTCCTACTCTGTCCTGTCCCTAGTTTCCTGTGCTTTGCTGTCCTTCCGGTGTCTCTCTCTCTAGGGCTACATATTTCCGGGTCACTCATTCACCTTCACTCAGCATTGACGTTCGGATGTCCTGAGACCCGCCTAGTACCAGGTCGCCCCACGTCTTCT